CACTCACAATCCAGCCAAAAATTGTTTCATCTAAGGTGAGAGATCCTTCTCGTATCCGTATACCAGTGGTGAGCTCGTTTGCCAGTTCAACACCACATAGAAGATCAATCCTTCCTCTTTTGTCGAAACCTGGATTCGCCAGTGCATATCGAGATGGAGGTTATGTTCACGTACACCCACATCGTCCACACGATGAGGAAGTCTGCTCGTAGTGTGTCTTCTCCAGGCAATTACAAAGTTATCGGAGCAAGACCTCTCGTCTCCAATGGGGGGCAGTTCCAACTGGTTTCACTGTTCTGTTGACTGATTTACGAGGCAACCCATGCCGTCGTAGGAAGCTTTCACTGACGAAGTTCAACTGTGATCCATTGTCTATCAAGGCACGGCAAATGAGTTACTGTCTGTGATGGTTGAACAGCGGTATCCTGTAAGTTCCAAGTAGGACCGTTCTGTCAGGTTCCGTAGCACTAATTACAGTACACATGTTTTTTCCACTCGTAGGACAATCGCTTACAGTCTTTCTCTCAGTTGTAATCGGTTGTTCCCTGCGCTGATTGTCCACGTGATGAAGAGAATGGTGTCTCCTGCCACACTATTTACAATTGTGCGTGCTTGGGCATTTCGTTACCATATGACCTGAGCGTAAGCAATTAAAGCAAAGTCGTTTGGAAGTCACTTCGTCTTTCCGTGTATGTACTTTCAACTTCTTGAACTCGTTACATGCAGTTACAGTATGAAGTGCTCCACAAAACACACACTCCTCGTCCACAGTTGTTGCTCCATACGATTGCCTTCGTTCGATGTTACTTTGGACATCAGCATGTGCTTCAGTTTGAATCGTTTGTTTCTGTGAGGTGATTGATGACTTCACTGCTTCTAGTGCCCTCGCTCGGGCATTAATGAAATCGTCAGTTCGTCTGTAGTTTCTGGAGCTCTACGCATGGGTTGTGAAGCTGCCATTGCTTTTGACTTTCCTGATCCAGTTTCTGCTCAATCACATGAACCAGTATTGGATCCCAGTCTTGAGTGTTACAGCCTTGCACTTCTAATGCAGCCACGTTTTCGCGAAAACACTCCAAAAGCTTCGGGAGGCTTGTTCCATCTTTGGTTTTCATAATCGGTTAGTTCAACGCTGCACTGAGATACATGCTTACAATGAACCTCTTGTGGTCGAATCGTTCAATTAGAGTCCTCCTTGCAAGCTCGTAGTTCACATCTGTTATTGCTACATTCTTGACCAGATCGTGTGCTTTTCCTCGAAGTGAAGATTTACTTCGAGAAGAAGCACCCGATCGGTTGTTCCCTGCGATTGATTAAACCAAATGTGCAATTTCTCAGCTTTTTGGAGGTTTGGGTTTCCATGTACTGCAGAATCGAACTGATCGATGAAGCTCATCCACTCCGTATACTTCCCACTGAAGGAGGGAAGATCGATCTTAGGCAACTTGATCTGACTTGATCTTGGTGAGAACACTGTATGATGCCCGTTCGCTTCTCCTGTCGATCCTCTGGAAGACGTTTGCTGATCTTACAAGAAATCATTCGTATGCTGAATGAATTTTCGTACCTCCGCTCTGAACTCACAAGCCGTTTCGAGCTCGGCTTGCAGACGTTCGTCTGGTACAACGTCCTCTATCAATCGATCTTTCTCACTGATCGATGTGAGAGTCTCTCTTATGACAGCAAGAGAAACTCGAAAGCCCGCAAGATTGGTCATTGAATAGGACGATCGTATTGAGTTTATCCGATCCCTATGCTTGGAAATGCACGTCTTGTGATCACTTCTGGAGTGAACCAAATCCAAGTTTGTTCGTCCTGACAGATCGTGTTGTCCATGTTGCACGCTCACAATTGCTGGTTGATCGCTCTCCTCGTTCGCATTGCCCTGACCTGGTTGCTTGTTCGCAACTGATCATACATCGCCTTGCTCGTTCGCGAAGCTTCGTAAATCGTACTGGTCGTTGGTATCACTCATAGTTCAAGGTTTGTGGTTAGTGGTTAATGGTTAGTGGTTCTTGGTTCGTTGTGTCTGGGTGGACGCGGAACAATGGTTTCTCGCCGAAGCCTAAAACTTTTCAATAGTGGACCAACTCAGCTTGACTTAGCTGAGATTTTGCTTTCACTTTGATTCAACCAATCATATGACTTTATATCAGAGGGAGGGGAACAGCTCATACCTGCTTCACTGTGTATACCAAGACAATGAAGTTGAACATATTTTATTTAAGAAGAAAAGTCTTGCAAATGTCAACATAACTTCAATAATTTTTTGGCTTGTGCCTGCAGCGAGTATTCAATGCTAGAATTACAATACAAGACCTCTAAAACGTTGTATTGCAATTTTCGCAATATTTTTGATTGTTGAGTTTTGCAATGAGCCCCGATCCGGTCTCAATCTGTCTGAACCAGAGTCACAAGGCTCACCCAACTGCCGCTTCTTAATGTGAATCAATTTTACAAGCTGTTGTGAAAGTTTCGATAATTCGATATAAAATTACATTACATAAAAAGGGGATAAATCCCACGTAGATTCAATCAAACATTTGAAACAACATTTGTTGGTTTAAATCAGTTTTTCGGCGGTTATTATTTTCCATTCCATTTTTCATTTCACTATGTTCCTTATTGCAAGCAACAACCTTTATTTCAAATTTAGGTACCAATTTTCTAACATATTGGCTTATAAGCCTGGAATTGATAGCGAGTGGAGAAAGCTGACTGAAGTTTTGTTGTTTAAGAAATTTAAGTGAGAATGACATGTGTCATACTATTGCATTAGTTGTCTCAAACTATCATTCATAACATAAAACTAACAATTAAAGTTCAATCAACAAAAAAAGACAAAGCAACTGAATATTAGCCAATATTATATTGAAAAAAAAAATGGGAAAAATTTGAAAAAATAGCTTTGGTTTAACTGAGAATTTTTCGAGTACAGTAAGTTTTTTTCTCAATTTGATTAAATTTTCTACACTGATAAGTGTTCTTTAGCACTTTTGTGCTAAAGATTGTTAAATTGTTAATTTGACCGAAGTTAAGGCGTTAATAAGTTATCAAAAAAGAAAACAAAAAGTTGATTAAATTTTCTTCCTGGTTTTCAACTTTATGTTGAAGAATTTAGGTTCAAGAAGGTTACGAAGTGCTTAAGTTTCTTAAGTTTGCTAATTTGATGAAAAAAAAATGGGCCTCCAGGATCATGTTGGAGATTTTGTACTGTCTGTAACCTAATTGGTTAAATAAGTGTTTTGTACTGGCTAAATAAATGTTTTTGGCTAAATAAGTGTTTTTAGGTCGATAAAAATGAGTTTCCAAGCGCTCCCAGAAACTAGCAGACTGTATTTAGACAATTTTTTTTGCTCCGCAGTCAAATTTTTGAGAAAAAAACAGGTCAAAAACCCTCAAAATTAGTATATTTTGGAATCGAAAGGTTTTTAAAAAGGGTTCTTAAAAAGCACTACCGAAGTGACACAATTGTGTCGGCAGGGAGTCGAATCCTTGGATAGGAGAAGCAGTCGGAACGCCCCCCCCCCCCCCCCCCTCCTAAATCCTAAATCTGTAGATAATATATATTTTTGACTTTTCTTTTTTTCCGAACAACAAGAAGGCTGAATGAACGTTATAAACAGTTAGCATGTCCCTAAAGCATCCCCTATGTAAAAAGCGAAAAGTTTAGATACAGACTACTGGTATCATCAGATGGCTTGCATCTATACCTCTTCAATTAAACAGCTAGCCCGATATTTTCAAAATGCACAGTCTAGCATATAGTTTTCTACTGTGTTCTGTGCATTGAAGATGGTCGCATGAGATCTCTTCGAGCGCAAGGTTGATGGATCATTTTAGAAAAGATTCATCTCAAGTTCATTGAAAACTTGTTTGCTGTTACCCGCTGAACTTAGTAAAAGATGGTCGTCTAAGATCTCTTTTCCTGCCTAATTTTGTGTTTACACTCGTTTTCAGGATTATAAGTGTCATAAGGTCATTTTCACATGGATTATCGAAGTTTTTTTTATCTATCTGCAATGTTGTTTAAAAACCTTTACTTGTTTAACTCCTTACGTTTTGGAAAAACAGAATAGCCGCTTAAGGTTTTTTGCTATCTCTTCATTTAGTCCTCGAAAAATTAACACAAATGACCACATAAGGTCTTTGTGTTGAATTCAGCACTCGTGGCCTGTAAGAATATCATCACTGCAAATATTCTAGAAACAAATATATTTCGGTTCCAAAAATAACAAAAAATTGGAAACAAGTTATGAAAAGAAAACAGAAAATCACCCACGCCGTCGAATACAAGAAGAAGGCGTGAAACAAGTTGATTATAATGATGATTTTCGTTGCCTGATTTGCTGGAATGAAAACACCTGATTGCAAAGTTTGCATCAAAATTGTGGTCGGAACAAAAACTAAATTAAAATGCGAGACCTAACTTTCAAATCTGGCTATTCAAAACTTCATTAACTCCTCGATATAGTCGCAGTCACTCCTTAATAGCACAATATCACAAAGTTCTGACTTTTTTGACATTGAACTTTTTGTTGTCAGTCTTTTCTTTTCGCAATCCTAATCACGACTGATTGAAGTTCCTGGCAAAAGTTCAGGCCAGGTTTTGTCTCCATTACACCCCCCCCCCCCTCCTACACACAAACCTCAAACCCGCTACTGTCCCGAAAGCGTTCCATCGACACTTAAGCTTCGGGGAAATTTGTATCCAAAAAAATCATTACCTTTAAAACTCAGTCTAACATTAAAAATCCCAACCCGCTTTTCAAAACCAAATTTCCAAAAGTGAGTTGTCAAAAGAAGAGCGCGGACAGCTTTAATGACGAGTGAAGTAATTGAGAATAAAGATTTCGAGCTCTTGAGCCTTGAACTTTGCAAGTACCCGCTTCCCCTAAATGTTCACTTGTCCATTTTCTGTTCATATTTTCATTAAAGACAACATTGGGATTAATCTCGATTAAGCCACGAAGCCTGATTCATTTGACTAGTTATGTTTGCAAAAAATATTAACTGGATAAATCTGATGATAACGATCACCAAGTTTCTAATTTCTAAAACATCAACTTCAAGAACTAAGACTACAACATTTATTCAACTTCTAAAACCTTCATACGGGTCTTAATTTAGTTCTTTTAATGTATTTCTGTCAATTCATATATTAAAATTCTGTACCTTTTTTGAAAAATGACCGGTTTAATTTTAAAAATTACATTTTTAATGGTGATATTCAATTTTTGCGCTTCAAGTGATCTTGCAGCGACTCTGTACGAGTTGCAAAAAACACCCGATGATATGAAAAATGACCGCATGTCCGCTGAAGAGGAGGCTAATCAGCCGACGACCGATAAGCCGACAACAGTTCCGAATCCACCGACTTCGACTGTGAAAGCAGTGACCGAGAAAGTTCTGGAAAAAGCCAAAAACTCGCAAAAGCAGAAATCACGGAAAGATAAACAGAAACTAATATTGGAAGAAACGAACACTTTGCCGATCAACCCGAAGATGCCAATTAACATTGGTGTAAGTCAAATTTTTAGTTGGAGACATTCAGGGGTGGACTTAAGGGGGGGGGGGGGGGAGTATTGGATGCCTTTCTTTTGAACCCTCATATCCTCGAAAATGTTGGTATCGTCCGTCCGTGGAGATGCAAAGTGTCGCCGCAATTCTAATTTAGGTCAACAAATAAGATTTTCCAGATCTATCATAACCTGAAAAGGACCTCTTTCGTCAAAAAATCTTTTGAGATGCAAGCATTTCATTGCGAAAAAAAGGCTGAAAAATCTGTTTTGAAAAATGTCGGATTGTTTCGACCAGCAATTCGCGTTTTTTGACGCCCTCTTTTCTCTCAAATTTTGGCAGAAAAAGAAGAGTACCAAAAGGGAACTTTCGGGCTGCAAGGGTTTTTGATTCCTGAGGGGGTCCACGTATGAAAACATCTTATGAGACGTGTACCTGTGAAATGACACAGAAAAGGGGCACTTTATGGAAGGATATTTGGGAGTTTTCGTCAAGTTACTTCAAGTATTGAGTCGAAAGTGCTTTAGGAGCTGATATGTAAGTAGATCAGTAAAACTTTATACCGTACAACAGAAGCTTTCGGGTGTGACGGGTCAAATAAAAGATTGGGCTTTCTTTTCCCTTAAACTAACTCAACTATGGTGATTCATGTCTTTTGGTTCAAGTTCAATCTCAAATATATTTTTTTTCGATTTACTGAAAGTTCATCTTGGTGGTTTTTTTGGAGTTCACCCTTGAAGAAACTTTGATTGACAGGTGCGGCTGGTTTTGGAGAGTATCAAGAGTATAGACGTGGACGCATTTATGGACTTCTACATGGAGGTCACGTGGTACGACCACCGAGAGAGGAACCTCACGGCTTTCATGTCTGGCAAGGATACCAACAAGTTCTGCTGGATGCCAGACCTCTACTTCCTACTCGCCAGATCGGTGAGTCTAACTGTCTTATTTAAACCCCCTCACCCAATCCTCCACCTATCCCGAAATCGGCCAGGCTGCGGTAGAGACCTAAAACTTCAGTTCAATGATAGTGTATGAGGACGATCGGTTGACAAAAATTCTTAAAAGTCAAGCAATTCTCATATTATTTCCCATAAGATATATCATATAAAAACCCTTTTAGTCGTGAGTCGTGATTCAAACGACAAAAAATTTTCAGTGTCGGGAAAAATTGGTTTGAATTTTGATCTAATTTTGGGCGAATCAGGTGAGCGAGTAGCTTATTTTGTTTTTCAATCAAAAAAAAATTACCACAACTAATTATCGGACAAGGTCAAATGATGTTTCGTATTACAGCTAGCTCTTTCAATTCAGATTCAAACATAATTGAAAAATTTCAAAAGATTGTCTCAGCGTCGAGAAAAACCAGTTTGAAACTTTTGAGTCTAATTTCAAAATTGAAGCGAGCGAGCAGGCATACTCTAGGAGGACATGAAACAAATCTCTATTAATTTTTTTAGAAGTTTTTAGCGCCATTTTTGAAAAAAAACTTCAAAACTTCAAAATAATGAAATTTTGAATTTTATTTTTTGTTTGGTTCTATTCTGGTCATATTTAGACAAAAACTTATTCTTGATTTTCTTATTTTTTGTGACTGTCGAATTAATTTGTAATTAGTTTCTTTTCAGACTTTTCTTACTACAACAGGCACAAAAAAAACTAACACAATAATTTGAGAAAAAAGTATCATGAAAAAAAGTTTATGCTCGAACATTTTTGTGCTACTTGCGCAGCAGCCGGCTATTCTTGTTTATATCCAATGTTTTTATAAGTTTGTTTCCAATCCCATTTATCTAGGATAATAAATACCAACCAAGTAGCTTGAAATTTGAGATATTACAAATGAAGTAAAATCGAGCTCTGAGCCGCGTCAGTAGTATTCAAGAATCGCTCAACGTCTTACAATTGGCTCTAAAAATTTCTGCTTTTTTGGTCGTGAAATGTGAGTGATTTAAAAAGCGGAGCGGAGTACCGATACCAATCAGAAACCAAAATGTAAGTTTTTGCTGAGAGCAAAAAAACTAAACTTCGAGGAGCATGTTTTGTTTTGCAGTTTTTGAGCAAATGGACTGAATGAGTGACAAAAAATCATAATTTGGTTGCCCAAATTTTTTGAAAACAAGTTTTATTTTGCGCAAGAAAAACGAAATTTTGAACTTTTTAAACTAACAACTTTTCAAAACTTTTCGCTCTCCAAAAAAATATATACAAAGACAAAGTGATTATAAATGCGAAAACTATCGCTTTTAGTGTATGAAAGTCAAATTCCAGGGTTTTTCGTAGCATCTTAATTAGATAAAACTCTCTCAAGATGGCTATTTTTAACAACTTCATTAAATGGTTTTTTTTTGCTAAATATTTGAGTTTCCAATTATCAATAATTCATTAAGTGTAACTCAAGAATACAAACTCCCAATCAACTATAGTTATTAACGTCTAAACATTAACTCAAATACTTGATGGCTTCTCTAGATCCCAAAACTTTTTCGTTAATTGTTTCAACTTTCGAAGAAAGGGATAAAATTAGTGTGTTCGAGGTGTTTTTTTTCTCCAGCCAAATTTTTAATTGTTTCAACTTCTTATCTAACAATTTTTGACAGAATTTTTTTTTGCCCTGAGCTCAAATTTAAAAAAATGCTTCAAATGTAATCGTTATCATTTTTGTGAAGGTATGAGATTGAGAAATATGAGGGCTTAGAAATTGGCCAATTTGGGACAATTCATGCTCGAGATAGTTAGTGCTAATAAGGCGCAACCACTCAGAAAACGTTCGTAATTGAATGGAAGCATGTTGTTTAATCTATTTCTTACTTTGCTATATGCCAATAAGACTGCTCGTATCAAGGCAATGCCCTGAAAGTTCCACCTGCTACTAAGAATAACTGGTCTTGATTTGTTTATACTTATTTTTTCGTCTCTCAAAGCAAGTAAGGAAAAGATATGCTCCGGTGGTTTTTTTATTCAGACCAGTTTATTCAAAGTTCATTCTGTAGGGCGGTCGAACCATGGATCTTCGTGGTCCCAGAAGGGGTGCGCTAACCGCTAGACTAACCTGACTTAGAAGTTGGAGTGAAATGCTCACTAATATAGTAACGTGACAATAAGAGTGCTGTGATTTTTTGATGCCTAAATTTTAACGAGCATTATATCCCGCACCACGAAATTGTTCCAAATTCAATTGAAGCAGGACCAATAGTCTTTTTAACTTCAATAACTGTTCCTTATTTGAGAGTTTGTCAATATTTCATTAACCAAAAACTATTCAAGACCAAGTTACGGACAGTCGGAACATTCAGGGTTTTGCCCTGATACGAGCAGTCTCGATGAAAGATACACAAACCGTAAATATAAAGCTGATAATATCAAATTTCTATTGTTAAATTTTGAGTCCTGCAAAAGACCAATTAGCTTGTTGAGCGGGGTAGCTCGCCACGTTTAAATAGTGCGTGTTACATTTTCTGTGTCAAAGTATAAAGCGAGCAGGTAATTAAGACTCATTGCAGAGCTACCGTAAAATGAAGATAGTATAGTGGTGAGCGCGACCATTCTGTGAACACAACAATTAGGAGAGCGATCATTTTTGAAAATTGGTCTGAATAAAAAAAATCACCTCGAGCATATGCATTTCTTAGTTTCTTCAAAATTCTGAACAAATATATTACTTTGTATTTTGAATGGCGTACGAGGAGATGATTTTCAGAAAAAAAAACGCCTCAAAATTAACTTTTTAAAGCTACAATCACTACTACATAGATCTTACAAGGCTGTTGGAACGTTCAGGGCTTCGCCCTGATACAAGCAGTTTTCTTTTATTATAAATACCATTAACTTTGCGATTTTTAAATTTGATTCATCAATTCATACTTTCAGATTGACGCTTTCGAACGGAAAAAATAAAAATCACAGGAAGTTTTTTTGCTTCGAATATTCAGGTGAATTTCATTGAAAACACGCAGTACTTGGGGATCAACAAAGGAGAGATGTTGTATGACAGAAAGATCTCCATCAAAACTCCTTGTGTTCCGGATCCATTCAGATATCCATTCGACACAGGTGAGAGCTCCTCCGAGGTTCATCTTTGCTTTAATCTCATATCGTAACCCCTCCCCTCCCCTGCCTAAAAACAATTTTATGAGCTTTCAAACTTTTATGAGCTTTATGCGTTTTCCATACAGCGGCCTGATCGTAACTGCCGCAGTCTAAGATGCCGTTTGGAAGGAACCCTATTTAGTAGCGTTTCCAGCAATTCAAATCATTTATTACTACCCTAAGTGTGAATCTAAAACCTTGAAACGTTTTATGAAAGAGAAGATCTAGAATTTTCTCTAGGGCGGATTTTCAAAAATATTTCGAAAGTTTAGTCGACCTTCTTCTTTTTAAATCGACCAAATTGGTTTTATGAGCTTTCCTAAATCACTGAAAAGACCCTTTTTTAACCCACTTTTTAAGCCTTTTAAGCAGGGGTGGATGTAAGATTTTCTTTAGTGGGGAAGGGGCTTTTTTCAAAAAATTTTGTCTACCTTTTTCTTAGGTCGATAATACTGATTATCTGAGCTCTTCCAGATAAATAAAAAGACCTTGTTTTGGCTATATTTGTTTTGCACCCCAGGCAAATTTTTGAAAAACAGGCCAAAAAGAAGTTTTTAGGCACTTTTTGGTTAGTTTTGACCAAAAGACGCTTTATGATGCTTTATGCGTCTGAACGATCAGAAACGAGAAAAAAATAGTATGAGACAGATTATTGGCGAAAATGAAGCTTAAGGACATTCAAAGAGAAATCTGTGTCCGCCCAGGCAGTTCCACTGGAGAAACACTTAGGTCTGTACTGTTACAAGATACCAGCAACTCAACGACCTCTAATGTACAAAAGCAATTGGAAACAATTTTAAATCAAATTCTTCGAACTAAACTTCTATCACATCATTCAGAGTGAAGCTGGAGTTTACCCGCTTACTTCAGGAAAAGAAAGATATTCAAAAAACAATTATTCGAGCAGCGGGCCAAAATTCGTTTCTAGGAAAACCTAAAAATTTAAGCAACAATCAAAAAGACTGCATCTTATGTTAGAAAGATTATTCTCCAAAGAAGGAATCATACAACATGATGGATAATTGGCACAATGCTGTAATTAATTAAAAGATAAATAATCAGCTGAAGGGTCAAATTTTACAACAGAAGAAATTGCAAGATAGCAAATCGGAACTTGGAACTTCGAAAATCTCAGCAGCGGCTCGTGTGGACCGTGAAGCCCAGTAGATAAACGAAATCTTTCTAAAAAGAAAAATCTATCCCTCTCTCACCATAGCATTTAAGCATCCCAAAATTAACTAGAACAGACCAGTATTAAAGTTTTAACGACAACGCCTTTAAATCATTTAGTGAACTTTCAGGAATAAACATTTTTTGTCAGGTAGGCGTTTACAAAGGTTATGGAACTGTTGAAAGAACAATCCAAACTATTAGAAGGAAGCTGGGAGTAGTGCAATCAGATAAAAACTTTTAGATTATCCAAAAACGCCCTTCAGAAATTTAATGAGGATAAGAGAATTGACAAAATGTGTGTCTCTAATTTTTCTTCTTTTGAGCTGCACTTTGCCCAGAAGCCAAAATAAAAACGGTTTTTGATTTTCAAAATTCTCAGATCAAAATTAAATTTGGATTCGAAAACGTCTCGAAAGATACGCAATGACAGCAGAGCAAAGAAGAGCAAACTGCTTTAACAGACCAAGAAAATAGTTTTAAGAAAATGTTAGAGCCCAGATGTGTCGCCAAAACTTAGAGGCCCCAGCTATTTCTATGTCAGACTCTGAAGCTTTAGAAACACTGATTTTGTCGCCAGCAACAGTTAAAGCAGCTACTTGAGAGCGCAATCTGGATCAGACTCCTAGTACAGTTTTTTTCAGTTATTCAAGATGCATCATCAACTTCGGCTTTGAGACGCGTTACAACGGAGGCACAATAATTGATTCCTGGTTCTTCAGAAATCGACCTGGCGTTGAACCTTCCAGATCGGCCCCAACAGTGCAAGATGAACGTACCAAAACTTAGGACAAGTATCAAAACTTAGGACGTCTTCACTAAGACACGGATGAACAAGATGATACAGCCTCTAACAATTTGAGCATTTCAGACAGATCGAAGAAGCAAAATTACTTCTACGGGAACCCAGTCTGACACACAGTCAAAGAGATATCCCAAGATCAGGCAGTATCTTCATCGCCAAAAACGCCTCCGGTTTTCGTAGTGATCTGGGGGACTTTTCAATCTCTACACCCTCGACGACAAGAAATATGAGGATCTTTAAGAGATCGGTCAAGACTTGTAACTGTAGAGCTGTAAAGTGAAACTGCTAGAGTTTGAAATTGCTGAAATTGAAACTTTAAAGCAGTGAAACCTTGAGACATACGTGCTCATATCATTATGCGCCGTTTAATTTTAATTCCCATATCAGGTTTACTGGACCTTTCAAAAGGGTGGAAATTTGGAACAACATAGACGGTCGTGTCTAACTTTAACTTATTGTGTTTTGTGATTGTGTTGAAAGCCACTATTATGTTTCCAACTCGGGACAGGTAACCCCCATATATTAGTCTGAAAGTGTGATTCTAAACCCTGTTGAGAGATTAGAGTGTTCGCCAAGTTTTGTTCATATTCGTAATTAATTCTTATACGATCCAATTTTTAATTCACAATTGCGATAAATCTCTTGTTTAGTTAGTTAGTTGGAAGTTAGATAGGTTGACATTCCACAATAAGTTAGGATATTCATTTTAAAGTTGCTGATGCATCTTCTTCCCGTCGAGAGCTGTAATAAAGCGCAAACGCCAGAAATTTTAGTGCGGTGATGGAGGTTGGACGTGATTTGTTCCCATCGTTAAAATTTTTCCTTTTATCAAAGTTGTCAACTTTGGTGTTCAGGGACTCCAGCTCATCAGTGTTTGGATTTATTTCAAAGATCCAGTGTCTGAGTTTTATTAGTTTTAAGGAATTTTTTCAACTAATTTTTAGAAGAGTGTCTCTGAATATGTTTTCTCGGCTTTGTAGACGTTGGCTGGAAGAGACGCGCCAGAAAAACAATGGCTCTGAGATATTGGTGAAACCCTGGTCATTGGTCGCTCTGAAGATCGCGAGTGTCTTTTTAGGAATAGACGTGGACAATTAGTAGGATGGGGAGGAGTTCGGAACCATCAGAGTTGAGAAGGTTACTCGCGCCTAACGACAATTCCGTTGAATTGAGGTTACTATTGCTCGGAAGACGAAGTTATAAAATTAGGGTTGAGAATCTCAAGCTGGGAATTTTCGCTCTCGGACGCCAATCAGGGACGCCTGTTGACGTCCGAGGCGAGAGAACGAGATGAGATCATGAGAGCTGGAGTCCCTTATGACTAGAGCGCTATCTCACTAGAGAGTAGAGGATTCAAGAAGATTACAGATAAGATTACAGAATATGATTTTTCCCATCGTGGAGTTGTCTAAACTGAGGTTGATGCCCTGAGTTTCCTGGAATCATCGGTCGGTATGTCGACGCAGATGAACTGGCGAATGGTGCAATGAACATCAAAGGCCAGACCACCACCGTTGCAATTTATGTCGTTTCTCTGGGATGTTCTTTTTCCCGATTCGAGTTCTCGGTTCATTATTTTTCAAACAATATACTTATTTTGTAGTTTTATGACGTAAGGGGGTGGGGGTTTGGGAAACAGGAAAAGAGTGTAATCTTCTTCTTATGCTTTGTGCAGTGACGTGTACGGTGTTGGTGTCCAGCTATGGCTATGACGAGGGGAGTGTGCGTCTGTTCTGGAAGGATGGGGGGCTGGAGTTCCCAGAGACTTATGACCAGTTGGAGTACATTGGGTTCAAGTGGGCTGGGAATCACGCCATGTTCACTGGATCAGTAAGTCTACAGTCCTCCTCATTGAACTTAAATAATCTAAACTTCACCCCGGAAGTTTTTCACCCCCAATGTATTCATGTCTTATTTTGAGTGAGCTTTGATGGGGAAAAAAGGCTGTTATATCAAAAAGTTATTGGATAAAGTTTCAATTTTTTTTGATTTTTCAAGATTTAAAATATCTTAATACCGTAAAAATATTTTAATACTTATTCAAAAATTTCAATTAAGCCACACACTTTTCAGTTCTGTATCATGAACGGCGGACCATTGTTTTTTAATCTAGGCTCAATTTGGCCATTTACTGACCTGCAAAGCCTCCGTATATGTTCGAACAATAGCTGACCCTCACTCCTTGGTCATTTGAAAAACTAACACATTTCAATCAAATGAACTTTAAATGTATTTGAGCTTCAACCTCTGTGTTTAATGAGGAAAAAGTGCAGTATAGGTTGACCTTTGACCTTGGTGTTCGTGACCTTTGAACTTTGAATATAATTGACCTTTGACCCCCTGTGGTTAATCAGGAGAGTGTGCAGTATGGTACATACAACTACACCATTCTGATGGCCACCTTCCAGTTCCAGAGACTGTACTCCGTCTACCTGTATCAGATCATCATCCCAGCTGCCATTCTGGTCATCATCAGCTGGACTGTCTTCTGGATCAACATCAACGTCACACCTGCCCGGGTCGGCATCGGAGTCACTGCGGTTGGTATCATCACAAATAACTGATAAATAACAACTGATAAATAACTGATAAAATAAATGAACAACAGATAAAAAACGTGACCTTTGACCCCATTTTCGACACGAATCAGGATTTTTACATTTTTTTGGTGAAAAATCTTACATGATAAAATATAACTATTAGATGAAAAAACACTATTATGTCTTAATATGACCACGTTAGATTGAATTGAACACGTCACTTCGGTAACGGGAAGGAACTACAGATTTTAGCAAATGTTTTTCCAAAATTTTTTGTTGTAAAATGTTAAAGACCTCTCTGCTCAAGATTCGAATTCAAAACAAAATTAGCGATTGATATGCAATCTTCCGTTTTCCATACCAATTAACTCAAAATTTGCGAATGACTCTGAACTTTTAATTCAACTCTAATGCTATTTATACAGTATTTAGCTGTTTTGGCATTTATTTTTGCAGCTTATTACTTAATTCGATCGCCCTGACTGAAAAAAGCAACAGACAATTTGGTGAAAAAAGGGTTTCAATCCTTCTGATCGGGAAAAACTCAGTGAAACATAGTTAAGTTATGACAATTATTTCTTCTGATAATGATAGTGATTCAGGTTTGTCTAAGATTTAATTAGAAAGTTAAGACGCTAAGACAATTGCAAGAAAAAAGAACAAAAAAAGAAAGGAAGCCTCAAAACCAGACCTCTCTTTCGCGACTTCAATCTTCCTGTTCAGATCCTGTCTTTGCTGACCCTCTCGACTAACCGGAAGCACGATGCCAACTCCAAGTACCTCACCATCCGGACTAGTCTGCTGGACATCTACATCTGGTCTTGCTTCCTCTTCGTCATCTTAGCTTACATTGAGGTAAGGATAATAGGGTGTTTTCAGGCAGAAGATGCGTACAGAAGTTGAACGTAGATGACAATTTAGTAAAACTATTGTTCAGTGGTAGTTCACCAGTGGATCTGCAGATTTGTCTTACGTGCCTCAACACAGCAAAGAACAATTTTCTTAAAAGTTTTTTTTTGAATTTTCAACGATTGGTTTTTGAAGTTTTAAAAACTGTGATAAAAAATTTGATAAATTGTGAAAATCATTCAAAAAAATAAAAATGAAGCATTTTTGAAGGCCGTTTGAAAAAGAAATTGGGTTCTAATTGTTTTCAGCCTTTTCTTTAACAGTCTTTTTGAAATCTGAAACTAACTGAAACGTAAATTCAGCGAAAAACAATTAGTTAATATTTAATCCCTACCTGAATATACTAATAACAGATCCAATTTTCACTAATAACAGATCCATTGAATAAATAGCGTTCAAACAGTTCGGCCATAGAAAGAAATCAGTCAATTTTAAATTCAGAAATTTCAACCACTTTGAGCGAGAGAATTTGGCCAAAAATATCCGGACAGTATTAATGTTTCAAAACGTAAATGCAAATCTTTCAAATGGGGCACGAAAATAAAGTTTTAATTAGATGGCTCATAACTATTTTTTTTTTCAAAAGCACATGACATGAATCGATTTAATGTACTTTGATGATATCGAATTTCTTAGAATGTTTTCACATTGAAACTTTTGGCTAAATCTAAATCAAACTCAATGAAAAAACACAAGAAAATTTAAAAAATAAATATAGTTAGCATCGAAACAAGCCAAAAATTGAAAAAGTACTTGCAGTTCAAAAAAATGTTTGTTAAGGTTGACCAACTTAATTTCAACTGGTCACACAGTACGCAGGTATTTTTTATAGTATATTAGGCGGGGAGGATGCAACCGCATATCAGGTGATTTTGGTAGTTAGTTAAAGTAATCAAATGACAGTTTAGATTTTTAAAACATTTATTTGTGGCGAATAACTCATTTTCCACCAGAAACCAATGTGGTTCTAGCGCCTAGAAAAAATGGCACCTGAGCACAGCTAATAATGAAGATTATTTGTTAGTAATTAGGTTTACTACTTATTCCTGTCAATTTACCAAACATTGACGTGAAACAACAGAATGTCTCTTTCCTGATGGTTACAATTATCATAAACATTGCAACTAAAGCGGTTTTATTAAATGCGATTGTACTTCAAAGAACGCTAATCGGGGGGTTTTTCGTCAATTAGTCAAAAAGAATAAGCTAAAAAGTTCTTTGACGCTCATCGACAGATTGTCTTTAGCACCCACACTGACTTGCCTCTTGTGCAGCGCCAAAAACAACGCGTTACTCTACATTTTTTTGGGATATTTAGAGAAAAAGGCAGCAGACTGAAGAAACAAAGCCGAAGACAAAAACACTGGTTCAGATATTTTTTGAAATTACTGTAAATCATCGGCGTGACACAGTTTTGAACATACAAACTTCTCGTAAAACCCCGAAACTTTAACTGAGAAAGTCGCTGTTTCAAGCGCACACATGGATCCATAAATTATCGATTTTTTCAGCGAATGACTGACACAAAATCTTGCAATCAAAAATCTGTCTTTTCGAGGCCAGTCAAGGTCGAAATCAGTTGGCTGTACCTGAGCTTAATTGAGCCGCGTGGGAGCCGGTCGGCCTCGTATATAGCTATATTTGATTTAAGCGCAGCTGCCATAGACCACTCGACCATTTGTTTTTGTCTAGTTTTATACTTAGTGCTCTTATCAATCCAGCAGCTGTTACCTATCATAATTTCATTTTAAGTGAAAGCATCCTTGGGCTGCAAAAAAGTGAGGACTGGAGCGAGCTTCTTTATATGATGGCTTTTTTTCGTTTAGCGGTTTTCAGGATAGCGGTGGGACCATAGCGTTTTTTTAAGGTTAAAACTCATAACACAAGCTATGGGAAATACCCACGGCGACTACCTTCCTTGACAACTCAAACATGATTTCCTGAATTGATTTCTTGCTCAGAGGTAGTGTGCCATTTGTAGTTGTTCCGCTTGTTGAGGGAAGGCACACAGTCGCGCAACCATTAATACCAGATGACGTTGGCGTTTGATTGCGTGCGGAGACAGCGGTGTTTGAATTAATCGTCGATTGCGGCTCATTAAAAACTCACCGAACAGCGAGGATCGAAAAAGCACTATTGTGTTTATGAACAAGACGATCCCTCGAGCCACCTTGGCTTAACCCGGATAGAGTAATATAATTCGTGTTCCATAGAAGCCATGGGATCAGCTTCAATAGACGTTCATGTTCAAGAAGTCGCGGATGCAAAGTCATTACACGCACGAATGCACAGAATGTGCTTTTTCTATCAGCCAATAAAGTTTGCTCCCATCTCGGACCATATTATCGATGCGGTGGGTTCCATCCCTAGCGATGAACATTTCCACTCCCAATACTGAAGAACTAGCTTGTATTGACAGAAGAACTACTCTGTAGATGACTTTTGTGGCAAAAATTGATCAAAAACGTCCAGTGTTTGTTGGAACTCTGGCAAAATGATACGTAAAAGGGTCTAAAGTAATCCAATCGCATCTATTAAAGTGCGCTTTGCGGTATTCTAAGATCCCGACCGGACGTTCAGACATTAATGCTGCGACGGTTTTCACTTTCATTTTCGTCGTTGAGAAGCAAAGAAATAATTGTCGAGACGGTTGTCAAATTGTTGATAATGCATATGTCAAAAACCAAGATTGTGAAGCAGATGATATACAAATAGTTTGACTAAGGGGTAAACACAATCATTTATCATAGGACATTTGTTCCTAATTTGACTTCAGAAAAACGGCTGATGCGTTTTGGTGACCGGAAAAGATCTTAAGGACTGATTAAGGATGAGCGTTGTGTAATTTAAAGTAAATATCTGGGAAAATTCTCAGAATTTAACAGTTTAAACACGTACACACACGCTTCTTTAAAAAAACAAGCTATAGTTTCAGTTGTTCATTTTCGATCTCAGAGGTTTTGACAATTCTAAATATTGCTTCAAAGCAAGGATGGAGGCTAGGACCTAAGTTGAGAAAGTTTTCTATGATGCGTAACAGTACAACAAAACAGTTGTACTGAGGCCGATCAAGGATGGGTTTGGATGATGCCGGTTTATTGATGAAAATAGGGAAGGTAGCAAGATCTCATCGACGGGACCTGTGCGTTTCATTTTGGTGGCTTAACTTTTGAAGGGCCATCACTGATGTTTTAGAAGCTTGGAGTTTCATTACAACTTCTGTCTTTTGAAGCCTCAGTGGCAATGCCTCGAGTGCTCGTGTCTGGGTTATATTTTCGTCTACGGCTGTATTTTCAATTATTTAGCCGACTCGCTTGGTAGCTAAAACTAAAGCTTTCATTGGCGATTTGCCTAGAATGACTATCCATAAAGCGCGCATGAGGAAATCAAAATGCACCACAAAAAAATTTCAAACTATACCAAACATACGCATTTCTTGATGTCAACCGCTGACGGAATTGTTAGCTTACCTGCGATGGGTATGCCAAAACGTTAATACACATACAGAACTTTATAGTAATTTTTTCTGGAGGAGTTCAGCCTTTATTCTTTGCTGACCGTTGATTATCCATATTGCTTTCAATAGGAGGCGTGCTTTTTAGTGTATGAATGCACCAACCCAATGAGCTCGAAGTCTGGCAAAAAAAATTATTTTTGGGTTTTTTCTCTATTTACAGCCTAACTGACAATTAATGAGTCTTATAGGTGGCCCATGTTAAACGTAGTACATGTGATATGTCACCTTGGTTGCCTGAAAATCACTTGGCTTGATGCGTTCTGTCAGTTGATCTAATGACATTACCATGCACTCTTTTACCAATATTCGACAAATAACTTCTCCCTTTAAAAATTTCTATAAAATTATTACTTTATTACTTTTTTACAATTCATTCAGGGTGGTTCTTCATAATACTCTATATTGATGCTTAGCATCAGTGTAGATGCTGTTTTTGAAATATGAGCGATTTTTTAAATTTCAATCCCGAGTTCCGAAGGTAGTTGCACAATGTGATTTCAATCAAAAAGAGCATTTGACCAGCTCGACCAAACTGATATTCTTGATATTGCAATTACTACATATGAAGGTTAGACCGTTTTTGATGTCGGCGGAAAACGACAAAGATCAGGATTGAGACGAAACAAAAACAATTGTAATAACGATGCCAACCTTAGAAAAATAAAGCATCTTAACGGTCGTTATACTGTTGAATTTACCACGATATGCAAGGACGATTGGTTGTGGTTGTCCAAATAGTCGCTCTCGTTTCATGAGAGCATTACTGTACATAGTATCACTGTAATCAAGTTTGGCTAAAGCAGTATCCGTTTTGACGATAAAAATGTCTTGATGTATATAAATTTTACATAATCGGTTGAGTTTTGTGAGTCCACAGCATTTCTGAACTGCCCAATCATTTCGTACCGCTGGAACTGATCACCGTTGTTTTGAGCAAGTGTCAATGGATCCTTTCACCTATTGTCAAGGATGTCTCCTAAATCCCGTGAAATTATCACATCAGGCATTGAATGATACAAGGAAAGTGCAAAATGATGTGAGTGCAATATTTGACGGTACAAAAGCCGCGATAAAAATCGGTAAACGCATGTTGTAACTGCTCTATTGCTTTAGCCAACATTTGTAGGTTCTAGCATACTGTTCCAATAGCGCTGCAATGACTTAATTTAAGCTGTTAATTGCAATAAGTGTGAAAAGATTCTATACAAACCCACTTGTGGTGCACGTGTTCTAGCAACACTTTCGAGTGAAAAAGATGAGGCAGCAAGTCGTGTTCAAAATGTATTGCTCCAAATGCGCATAAGTCGGTTGTGTCGCTGTCGGCTGTTACGCTGCAACAAATGTAGTCTGAATGGTTTTATGAAGTCTTAATAAGCCTTTAATGTCGAGATAAAATTTTTGCTGAAGTGTTCATTGAAGCACACATAGCAAAGCTTGCCTTCATATTGCTGCTCTTGAAGAAATAAAATAACGTGGGAACGAGCTGTGAAGGGGATGTGGGTGGTAGGGTTGTTTAAAGAGCTAATCCAGGAAAATGGACAGTTGGAAATTTAATTGATGGTGACAAGATAGCAACTGTTAAGTTTAAACATGTTGGAACAAAGAAGGAAGTACTTTTGGCATCAATTGAAATCGGTAAGAAAAATGAATCAATCAAACTGACCTGTTTTATGGTTGTTGATGAATTTGAAGAGCAAAATTTACAGCAGCCATCGCCTGAGATGACTGAATCTCATTGGCGAAATTCACTCAGTCTTTTCATTGAGCCTAAATAGAAACCTTCTGAGAGTTACATAATGGTGGAACATTTTTTTTCATCTCCAAATCAATATCTGATTCATCATTTTTGATTTTTTTTAGTTGATTACAATCTCAATAAATTTCCTGTGATTGGGAATATACAGTTTAGGGACTCATCAGTCGGAAAAAAACTGATGGGATCAAGTCAAACAAATCAAAAATATTAAAAGAGAATTTAACATTTTCTAATAAAATTTTTTCGGATTTTGGGATTTTTAGTTTGTTTGGTTCTTGCTATACTGGAGTGGCTGTGTGTAAAATATGCTTTCATACACAAAACGTTTTTTTTGATGCTCTAAAATTTTTGTTAACCACAAAACGGAACTTTTGAGTTCTTGTAATTTGGGAAAAAATATGGCTCAGTTCCCTCACCGTTTGTTGTTTGATCCTGGTCTCAGCCTTTTTAATTAACATTTTCCAGCACACATTGAGCCACTATTCAGGATACCCGTTTTTATATGCTTCCTGAATTCACAACCGAACAGGTCTCTACAAAAAAAAACACAATACCCGAACGTTTGACTCAAAACCTGTAACAGTATGCCTCCGTTCGAGTTTGACTCACAACCTCACTTGACAGGCAATTGACAGCTGGGCAACACCACATAACAACTGGACATAACAGCTGATTTTCTCGATACCCGCGAATAAGCCTCTAATTGAATTTAGTCCAGAACATGGCCAATTGGCAGTTTTCAAACCCTCTAATTGAATTTAGGTGAAAAACTGTGTAGACAGGCCCCATATCAGGGTTATATTATCTGCAAGCAGCTTGTTCTCTCTAACACTCGGCACTTCTCGGCGGCATTACCCGGCACTAATACAGACAAAAATCTGTACAATGAGACAAACAGAAGTTGCATTGTTCAAATAATCAAGTTCTATTTCTATCAAAGTTACGCTGACTTGACCTCAGTTTGTGATCAAAATTCAGGCGATGTGACTCGTTGTCTCGCACTTTTATTGTTTATAGGTTTACTCAAATATAATGGTTCTGATGCTCAAAAAAATTAGCTGAAAATGGTACTACTATGATAGAGTGGTCCCACGAAAAAGCAACTACGATAGACAGGTCGCGCATGCATTTCGCATGTTATAATTTTGAAAACTAATGTGTGTATAAATTTTTCATTTCAAAAATGTCGCGCAAAATGCTGAGTCAGGAACTGTTCAGATTAACAATTGTAACTACTATCTTGTTTATATCAAGAAATATGCGCGCTTCAACTTATTTTACCGTTAAACAACCATTATGGGGTTGACTTATTTGTCATCAAAACTCAATGTTAGCTGTATTTTTGATTTTCCCGACTTATAATGGTGAAGAGGGAGGTTCTACCAAGTAACGAAACAGAAAATTGGTTTGAAATTATACTGCGGGACTTTTCCGAATCGCAAAATCACAATTATTAAACAATTTCACAGCCCTAGGTGTTTTTTTTCGCAAGGGACCAGGTTACTTTCATGGCACCACTTTATCATAGTAGTACCCTGAAGTTGGATAGAAACCATTTTGCATAAATAATTTTGCCGCAAATTTTGGTTTGTTTGGCGATTCAAAACTATACTAAAATGAAATTTCACAGTTTCAAAGGTCGGTGCTTTAAAATTCACGTACAAAGTTTAGCGTTTCAAAATCACTCATAAACCATTAATCTATCAAATGTAGCAGCGAATGAATGATAGCAAACACCTAAGTTCGCAGCCAAAAACAAGTCTTTTCGAGGTCTGACCAAGTCGAAATCAAATGGTTTTTTTATGTACCTGTAGTTTTGGAATTATTTTTGGAAATAATAAAACTGAGCCGAGTGAGACCAGAACCAGGTCCAATTCAAACATGTGAAAACATGCCTAAAAATCATTTTCATAGAATGGAGAAAATGCTTAATTTTTAGCAATGGATTCTAAGAACAAGCTTTCTTTCTCATGAAAGGAAAATTTTTGAAAAACACTTTCGCCAACCCGGGTAGCTGCATATGCCTTTACATATGTGTTTTAGGTGAGTGCCTCGGACTACATGATAACCGGAAAGCCGAAGACGATTGGACTGGGCCGAGAGAATAAAGTGTCCGGCAAGTTGATGACAGTGAAGAGTCGAAGCTGGGTGCCCCTCGGATTCCTCATGTTTAACGCTGCCTATTGGTTCTACGCTTTCTCCGTATGAAAAACACAAATCGAGCCATTATTACCAGAATTTTCATGATTGTCATATACTTATTTTTTTTCATTATTTATCAGAAAGTAAACTATTATGCAGTTGTCACGTGTTCTAACTAGTTTGAATTTCACATATTTGAAAACCGTTATTTAAAAACCACAAAAATCATTGAACTATTTTTTTCAGCGCCGCGCTAGCATGACTGAAGATAAGTTTGCAACATTACAAAAACAAACCTTAGGTGAACTTAGTCCTTAAACAAAAAATAACAAAAAATTTAGGACCGACAACACGTAAGACACCCCCTAGCAAAAAAAACTCTTTCAACCTAGAAAATCTAATTCGAACTTCGCAATTAAGAAATTACCAATTTTTGCTTTAATCGCTTAAATTTAGCTTAATTTTTTTCAACAAAAATTTTGAAAAAAAGTTGCTAATACACTGTAAAAATGAAGCAAAATGAGTTTTTATTGAAGCAAAACAGAAAAATAATTTCAGTCCAACAAAATCGAGTTAAATAAAATTTGAAATGATTTTCAGGCAAGGGGTTGTTCATTTTACTTCGCAGCCTAATTCACGGCCAATACCGTTTCAATGTGAAACACCGCGCTTCCAAGTTTAGGCGTAAGCAATCGGTTATAACGGATTATTATGATGATTTTTGGACAATTATAATTGATTATATTTACTAAAATTTAAAGGATTTATAAAGGATGTGTTTAAAGGATTTATAACCAATTATAATTGTGATATTTTCCGAGCGGTAATAATCTATTATAATCGATTACAATTGATTACAGTTCGTACAAAAACTCTTTATATCAATTATAATCGATTATAATCTTTTATTCATTCAGAATTTGGAAGAACCATTAGTACAATTTAATTATCTATCATGGGTTAACAATTTTCCGTCTAAAACAAAATATCTAAAAGCGGGATGTCTGGGCACACTTTGGTTCATCTGAACGCAAAGTTATACAGCGAAACAAACGTTTCCTAGAGATCCTTCCGTATTAGCTAAAAGGTTCCCGCGGAATGTGAAAAATAAGTCCTCCGAGTAAATCTTGAAATAAAGGCTGATATTTTGATGGTTAAAAAAACTTAAGATGTGCATCATGAATCAACCTCAATGGAGAAATGAAAAAAATACAAAATTATAAGTTTGAAGTGATTTGAAAACGTATAAATTACTCTTCTCATTTTTCAGACAAGCCAACGTCTACAAAAAGCATAAAATACAAGCAGTTCGAAGACAAGGTCGGAGGAAAAATGGGCAAACAAACGGGATTATAATAGATTAAAATCGAATATAATCGATTATAAATATATCAAAAATAGATGGATCACTAATCGGTTATAATCGAAAAAAATAAATTATAATTGAATATATTTGGATTTCAAAAAGGAGATTGTAATCGATTATTAAATAATTGAAATCATTTTTTTCCATTTTAAAAAAACTGGTACTAAAATCATAATATAATTGATTATTAACGCTTGAAACAGGATGCGGGAACATAGACGCTTTTTCCTTGAATTTTTGTGTGCATAAAAAAAAACAATTTATGCATCATCTATCAGCTTTGCAGTCACTCTTGTTGTATTAAATTGTAAACAAAGGCTTAAATAAAACAAAGGACGGATTTGAATTGAATTATCAAAATAAAAAACTTTCCCTATCTGAATTAACAACTTCCTTTAGAAAAGGAAGCTTTATTGAAGTAACGAATTTCATTGAGCAGTCAGACGCCAAACATGCAAGTGGAAATACGAGTCGAATATCAGCAAAATCTCTTGCTTACGAGATGTTTTACCCCATGCTTGGGCACACACAGGTTTAATTTTGCAATTGGATGAAGTTATACTCACACAAGCAAAAACTCATCGTGGAAGAACCCTGAACAAACCTATTCGGATTTCAGAATTGTTTACACCGGTTACAAACAAACAATAAGCTACATAAGGATTGTAGAACAGCAAAACGCGGGGACAACTTGCTGCCGATCATCACAGTGAAAATTGGGTCTATCGTAGACTCTGACGAGTCGAGGGCTTGCAATTAGCTGAAAACCGTAGTTGTAATGAGAAGACTGTTAATTGTTTTCTTCATTTGGCTGAGTCAACCGTTGGTGTCCACGCATAAAATGTGTTTTCTCACAGTAATGGAAAAAGCCTAAAATGAAGAAAACTTGGGCCTGTTATCGCTTAAAAGTAGATCGATGTCGGGGGGTGATTCATTGGTAGATATGTTGTCCCCATGCTTATCTACAATTCAAATTAGGAATGTTGGGCGCACACAGGTTTAATTTTGAAATTGGATGAAGGTAAACTCACACAAGCAAAAACTCATCGTGGTAGAGTCTCATCTCTATAATTTAGGCATTTCAAAACTTTTATTAACTTTTTCAATTTGAAGTTTTATAATTAACTTACGATAGTAATTTTGATCAGTTTTGTGTCATATAGCCTTTTTGTTTTTGTATTTCTTCATTCTAAACAAAAAATTTTGTTAGCCCAAAATTTAACGGTCTAAATGACCAAAAAATATCGTCTAAATTTCTTTATTTTACGGTCGTCTAATTTGATTGTCGTCTATTTCATATTGAAAAGTTTTTGAATGCAGAAAAAGAGTCACGAAAAAATTCGCATTTCATATTAAGCATGATAGATTAAATCTTCAAAGCGCGGATAAACTTAACAAGAATGTGACCTAATTGGTAATTTTCAAACCACTAGAAAAAAAAACTGGTCGCTTGCATGAAAAATCTTAATACCTTTGTTTTTAGGAAGTCGATCTATCAATATTTGAAAGTTTTGTCTTAAAACTATGTTTTTATTTGAAAATCATAACAAACAATTTTGTAGCAAGTAACACTTTTCGGCGTTCTTTCAAGAAAATATGATAGGGATACAAATCAATCGTTTTTGAATTCTAACCATTGGTCAAAATTGATAAGATGCAGAAAAATTCAAAATGGTTGCTTTTATTTGAACCAAAGACTGATATAAAAAACATATTAGAGCATTTTTTCGGTTTTTATTCATCAATTTAATGAAGCTCGAAATTCATTTTTTAAAGAAAAGTTCTGAGTTCCTTAAGCGTCGATGGAACACAAAAAATTGGAAAAAAAATTATAGAGTTTTTCCGAAATTTTTCTCAAAAAATATTTGAGTCATCCATCACCACGCGCTTTATTAAACCAAAGTGGTATATTTAGCCTACAATAACGTAATAATTTGTTTGCCTGCATTCATTTTGTCCGGATAATTTTGCCGCTTACACGTTATAGAATGATATATATCGCTCTTAAATTATCCAAAATTGTCCAAATTGGCTGTTTTCTTAATGCATCAGAATTGAAATTTTGTAATATATCGAGCGTTAATGAAATCATATGTAATGCGCCTTTTTTATCCCGAATTACCGAAATAGCTGTTTTAACCAGAATTCATCATAAATGAAGCAATTTTAGCAAAAACGAGTTCAGACATTGACACCTTCTAGATGATATGAAAAAATCCGCCCAATTTGGTTAATTAATAAACTGGAGTTCCTCTGGAAGAAACCACCCGAGCGCATGTAACCTATCGTTTTTCTTCAAAATTTGGAACAAGAAGAATTTTACATCATTTCTTTTGTCAATTTGTCCACAATATGTTTAAAAATTTATTTTTTAGTTGTTCGATGAAATTCTAAGTGATATTTATAAGTTTACTAAGGAAACTATTGAAATATATTAGCTTGCGCGAAGCCCATTTGCTGCACTAAACTATTGAAAAGCTGATTAAACGCAAGAGCACAACGAAAAAAACTAAACCGCTGTAGAGAGCAGGCTTTAAGAGGTTTTTGGGCACTTCAAAAAACTGATCTGTCTGTAGTTGCAATTGGTTCATTTCACACTATTTGTTATCGCTATTTGCTATTTGCGTATTAGTATTGGGTCCAAGACACAGTGTTTGATAAAATGTCATTGGTCTAGAACATGTGCACATAATTTGTAAGCAATAAACGTTCGTAAATTGTAAAAATTGAATCAAATACAACTACAAACGGAAAAGTTTTTGAAAACGCCAATCAAATTTGATTTATTATGATTAGAAAACAGGAGAGACAAATTAAATACAAAATTTGATAAAACAAAGCATTCCCAAAAGGCGCCCTCTGTAACCTATACAATCACAAAAGACGACAAACAATTTTACCCATGTTTGAGCAAAGGAAGCGCGTTTGAAGCAACGCGATCAAACACCGATCAGCAGGTAGTCACTACAAGATGTTAATTGTGAAAATTGGAACCCACTTTTGTTTTAAAAGAAAAATTTTGTTTGAAATGTATTCATTTATAGTTAAATACAAAAGAAACTAAAATGCTCGTATCAGGGCTAAGCCTTGAATGTTCCGACTGTATTCTAAATATATGTAGTATTTTAAATTAAAGTACTTGAACAAATTTTCGAGGTTTGTTTTTGAAAATTCTCCCTCCAAACCATATGTGAAGTTGAAGATATTTTTTGCATGAAAAAAGTAATACTTAGACCAGAGAGTATTCCTCAATCCAATTTGAAATTATTTCAAAGAAGGAATAAATCTACCCGCATTGGAGTTCCATGAATAAAAATCGATTATAATTGAGTTTCCTTGTCAGTGTCCACAAAAGTGGAAACAAATCGATTATAATCAATTAAAAATGGATTATTATATTACTGTTTTTTGAGGCAACAAAATCCTTTTTTCATCCATTATAATCGATTTATTTTCACTTTTGTGGACACTGACAATGAAACTAAATTATAATCGATTTTTATTTCCACTTCACTGTGATGCGAATTTCAACGCACATAAAGTCTCTTCTACGTTTTAAATTAAAGTTGGTTACGTTTGTTAATTATTGTTCAATTGTATTTTTTTCTACCTAACTTTGATATTTTTGTTATTTTTTTTAAATTACTCAACATTACCCCCCTAGCGTTTGCCCATTTACAAAAAACCCCCTTTCACCCCCCCCCCCCCCCAACGTTACGTGTTCAGGTGGGGGAGACGGGGGGGTATGTGGGTTCAGGTGGGTGGGGAGGGGTTTGTTGTTGAGGCGGGGGTGTTCAGGTGGGGGGGGGGGGTGGGATTGGTTCAGTGGGGGGGGGGAGCAAAGGGGCGAACGTTAGGGGGATTGAATGGGAGCAAAGGGGCAAACGTTGGGGGGGGGGGAGAGGTCAACGGAATCTTTTTGCAATTTGAGTTTAGGCTTTGAAATGGATTAGGCCAGGCCGTACACTCGCTTTGCAAAGTTTCCACATCACTCACTTGATAAATGCTGAAATTGTTGCAAAATTTTGCACGACGCGCGAAACAAAAAGAAAGTGGAAAAAAAATCCATTTTAATGTGATTTCCTACTTATTATAAAATCCATTATAATGGATTCAGAATGAATTATAATGCATTTTTTTGGCGAGAAAAAATGGATTTTACTCCATTTTTAGTCCAGTTTTGTTGTCTGAACGTAACATGGGAATCGATTATATTTGCAACATTATAGACCACGAAATTCCATTATAATCGATTTGTTTTCACTTTTCTTAAATTCGGGTACACTAACGCGTTTATATTGCGCATTAATCGTTCCACGTTGGCCAAATTGCTAATTTTTAAATCCTTATATTTTAGAAAAACGATCACAAGTGAAATATTTTTTCAATTTTAAGCTCACGACAACAATACCTTTTGAATGATACAAAAACTTCCGTCAAAGAATCGCATGTTAAAAAATCGAAATTGGTTGGATTAAAAAAAACACCCCGAGCGCAACACCCGAAGCGTTTTCTTCGAAAGTCGGAATGAAACATTTGGAGATGAAGAAATTGTTCCTACTATTGTTAACTCAGGGAGTTGAAGTCTTCAATCGGGTAAAAAAATTTAGTTAAGAAAATATATAATTTTGATCGCCGAATATTGACTAAAAAACACAACTTGCCCCAAAAGTCGCAAAAGTCGGGGCAATAACACCAAATAGCGTGCTTCATTCCAGTTAAGAATCATCGTTGAATCGATTTCAATGGCTGCTTTAGCCTGAGTATAATAAGTATACACGCTATCTCACGAAAAGATTTAGCAAATAAAGTAGCTATCAGCCAGGTTAGCATTTCGTACACGGGATTGGCCACTTAATTGTTCAAAACTAGATACTTAGACAGGGGGTTGCGTAACAAGGCGTGAAGGTTTATTTACACACCGTGTTCTTCTCCCCGTTCTTAGTAACTAAGTTTGAACAAATATTTTACCAATGATAAGGATGAGGGATAAAAACAACTTATCTTTTAAATTCTATGATAAACTTTTAACAAATGTTTCGAAAAAGGTAATAAATTTCTACTAAATCAAATTACTTCTTTAAAATTCCGCGTTCGCCTTCGTGTGGCTGACAATTTTTGGTCTGAAAAATTGCATGGAAATTTTTTTTAAATTGTGTTCTTGAAATTAGGCGAAAATGAAATTTTCCGAAAAAGCGCAATCATTTTGCATTGCTCTGTTGACAGTTCAAGTGCAGTTTTGAAAGTTCGATTGCAGTTTTTAACGCAATTTCACGGTTTCAAGTTCAGAACTAGTTCAAAAATTTATGACGTTATCCGATAAAATTGTTAAAAGCTATAATCTTGTCGAAAAATTTATTCACTTAATCTTGTTCTGAATCTTATTTGCTTTAACTTTCCTGAAACGTATTCACTTACTATTGTTCTGAACCTTATATGCTTCAACTTGTCCTGAAACGTACTGACTTAATCTTGTTCGGAATTTGTCCGGTCTTCAATTAAGAACTATAGCTTTTAACAAATTCATCAGCCAACGTTTCAAGTTTAGAAATAATTCTGACCTTGAGACTGTAAAAGGGCTTTAAAACTGCGATCAAAATTTCAAAACTACATTTGAATTGTCAAAAGAGCAATGCAAAACAATTGCACTATTTCGGAGACTTTCATTTTTGCCTAGTTTCACTTCACGAGCAAAATTTTAACAAAAAAAAACTTTTTTTATTCAACAACGATCTTCCATGTAATTTTTCAGAGGAAAAAAGCAAATAAAACTTAAGACGTTTTTTGATTTAGTTCAAATTTGAAGGTCAGAATTATTTCATAAATTTAAAAAGTTGATTTTCAAGAAAGCTAAAAGGCAAACTTCTATATAGAAATTGAAAATTCAACCTTATAAGTCTAACATTAGAAAATGCTCGAGTTCGTTGGTTTTGCTATTTTAGTATTAATTTTCTGGATTTGGCAAAAATCAAGGCCGTCCAGATTTCCCCCTGGGCCTTTATGTTTGCCGATAGTCGGTAATGGCCACAATTTGAGTTTGAATCACCTCTTTTTTGGCCAAATGGAGAAATTACATTCAAAATACGGACCTCTTATTTCATTGTCAGTTGCCGGTGATCAAATTTGGGATGTTTGGTTCAGAGATTACGAAATTGCGAAGGAAGTCTGGAATGACCCTAGGTTCTCTTCAAGGTCAATTGTTCCTCTGGCAGCCAAACTGGAACTCGAAAGGGGCGTGTCTTTTACAAGCGGAGCAGACTCGAGATCGAAGAGAACCATGTTGTTTAAAGTTTTCAAGGCGCTCGGAGTTTTCGACAAGTCGGTATTTTCGGTAGGAGTCGAAAAAGAAGTGGAACTGATGATGAACTATCTCGACACTATGACTGAGAAAAATTTGTTCATTCAGGTGAAACTTAGAATTACTTAAGACTGAAAACCGAGAATGACAAAAATAAGGGTTACATGGAACCATGTGCGGATCCAATGATTGCTTAAATAATTGGGTCAACCAAATTAATTAGTGGTGCTCTCATAAAACATTTTTAAAAGAATATTTTTAGCCAAACGATTTCTGCGCTACGGTATTTTCTTTTGCAAAATTGGCCTGAAAAGGGGTGTTTAAAAATTAAAAATACTAAAACTAAACCAAGAAATCCCTTTCCAAGAATAAATTGAACCAAGAAAAAATTAAACCAAGAATTAAACCAAGAAATCCCTTTCCTTTTTTCTCCGATTTTTTAAGCCGTGTATGAAAAATAGGGCTAAGTTTTTTCGGCAAAAACTTTTTCGGCAACAAATTTTTCGGCAAAAATAGCTGGAATCCTTGTTTAGGAAGTAATGTCTTTCGTCACAAACAACTCTATTTCGAAACTTCTCTTCAACTTCTCTCTCGATGACAATTTTGACAGCCATCGAAGCTCAAAACGAAACAAGGATCTCATGAAATTGTTCGAGCTTTTCAACCCCACCAAAAAACACTGGTATCTGCCGTTCGTCATTAGCCGACACTTGTTCGAAACAAAACAACTAATCAGGCTTCGCGGCGAACTTTTTCATTTCATTGTTGAAAATTATAACAAACGAGTAACTAAAATGAAATCAGAACGCGGGGAACCTGAATGTGTTTCCGATATCTTGTGGGAAAAATTCGATTATTTTCGAAAAAGTGCAAGTGAAAAACCGTTTTTGGAGGAAGACATCCCATACATATTGTGGGAATTGTATTTGGCAGGTCAAGAATCGACAATAATAACTTTAACTTGGGCTGTTCTAAATATGATTCATTTCCCTGACGTCCAAGAAAAAGTTTACCAAGAACTCAAACGGATGTTTCCATCGCGTGACCAGATTATATCACTGAATGAGGCAATGAGTTGCGATTACCTAATGGCGACAATACACGAGTCGCAACGATTCACGCCGACGTCATATACGACGATTGATCACATGGCAAACGAAACAGTTGAAAACTTTCACGGATACAGGATCCCAAAAGGCACCCGAATGATGTCACACAATGCTCTGAATTACAAAAACGGGAACTATTTTAAATATCCTCTCGAGTTTAATCCGAGAAACTTTCTCAACGATTCCGAAAAGTACGCAAGAAATGAACACTTGACGTCCTTTGCGACCGGTCTTAGAGCGTGTCCCGGTCAACACATTGCCAGAACGGAACTTTTTTTAGTGCTCGCAAACCTTCTAAGAAGGTTCAAGATTTGTCCGGCTGAATTTGTTCCACCTCTAGAAGCAAAAATTGGCATTACTACGATTCCGCCTTATTTTCAGGCCAAGTTGGTTCAAAGAGCCAACTAGTGAAAGTTCAGTCACGTTCTTTAATTAGACTATAACTTTAACCTCTCTTTTTTAATCTTTATCTTTAACTTCCATTTTCTACTCTACTGTAAGCAGACTATTGGCAATTCTCAGATCTGATTATAATTGCAAAAGGATACGAAATGTTCTTTTGAGTTCTTCATTCAAGACTGGATGAAAATTAACCTTTTAAACTGAAACTTTAGTTGGTATTTGAAATCAAATTTACTTGTTATTTGTAGCACACTTTTGAAAGACGAAGGTTCCTAGATGTGTCCGTGAGTTAGTGGTATAGCTCCGCAAAAATAGTTTTGAATATGAAAATATAAGTAAATAATTGTGAGCTTTAGCCTGTCTTTTTACTAACCGGGTCGAAGTGCTCAATTTATGTTTCGAACGTCTCGACCCGAGCTGAAACTGTTTTGACTGTGATCGACCCTAAAAAAATGTTGTAGACCGTGCTCGACTCCAGCAAGATATGTTTCGACTGTGCTCGACCAAAAAATGTACTCGAATGTGCTCGCCCAAAGCAAAATATAGTTGGAGCATGATCGACCGAAAAGAATGTGCTCGACCGTGTTCGACTCAAGCAAAATATGTTTCAACAGTGCTCTAGGAAAGAAAAAGTGCCCAACCGTTCTCAACCAAAGCACAATATTTTTCGAGTATCTCGACTACAAATTTTCTGCTCAACCATATTTAAGTGCTCGAGCTTAATTGAGGTATTTGAGTGGGTTTCTCGAGTCTTGATTTAAACGAAACGGTTGAAAGATGTCTGTTTTCGGTTTTTTCAGCCGAACGACGTCCGTCTTCGCCTTTGTTAGACTTTACTGGACACTACTTGACTTTGTTTATTTTTGCTCAATTTTGCTCAATTTTACCGGACATTTTTCGACTTTGTTGGAAGTTGCTCAAATTTTTTGAACGTATTCGACTTTACAGAATCTTGACTCTTTCGACATAACCAAACTTGTTCAAACATACCAGTTTTAGTTCAATTTTGCGGCGCAATGATCATCTTCGTTCAAAAATGTTCCATTTTATTTGACTGTGCTGGATTTTCAGCGCCCGGGGCTGTTAATATGCAGGTAAGATTGTTTGAATGCATATGTGTAATTAAAAAAGTTGGTATACGTGTATGTATGTTTGCATCTATATGTAATGTGTGTATGGAAACGCATCTGTTTTAATTTTTGGAGTTTTGAAGATTTGGAGTTTTGGAGTTTTCTGGTTTGGAGGTTTGAGATTAAGTATATTAAAATCTTCAAATCAATTATATAGCTTTCGTTTCTATGTGTCTCTGCAAATTTTTGCCGATGGTTTTGATATATTTTAAACTGTTTTAAACTGTCGATTCGTGCAAATTTGGAAAACTTTTCTTTACTTTACAAAAACGATTTTTTATTTCGGCTTCAAGGTAATTGATAACGCTTCTCATTTGACTAATTGTTATAATATGTTGACGACTGTTAATTTTAGTTAAGATTGATTATTTTTCTTATAATTTTATAGATTTTACTTTTCGTTGTGATCATTTTGTAGTTGCCCTAAAAATGCTTATATATGGCGGTCCTGTATATAGTTGGCAAATATGCTGATCTAGCTACTGGACATTTTTAAGACATTCATTCTACATTGTTTTGCTATATGCATCTCTTTAACAGTTTTTTGACCAAAAAATCCGAAAAGAAATATTTCTCAGCCTGCTCGCTTCAGATTTCGAACATGCTCGAGGTATGCTTCAATCGTGTTAGAGGTATGTTTCAACCGTGCTCGTGGTATGTTTCGACCGTGCTCCAGATAGGTTTCGACCGTGCTCTGGTGATATTTTGACCAAGCTCGACCGTGCTCGAAGTTTGTTTTGACCATGCTCAATCGATCGTGAGGTATGTTTCAAACTTGTGCTCGAACCAGCTCAAGCGATATAATCGACTTCACTCTTATTAGCTTTCATTCTAATCTAGGTTCAACTAAAATCAATTGCTGCAGTATCGATATCTCAGCGTTTTGAGACCTTTTTCACAAAATTTTCCAAATCTTACTACTCTGGACTTAATGAGGTCTCAAAAATCAAAGAGATTTTTTGTCTGAGCATTGGACCAACGCATACCGAACACGCAATTCTTTTTCAACTTAAACTTTCCTCCCTTTTCTCAAAGATGCTTCTCTCTGTGTTATAGTAGCATTTTCCTAGCACTGAATGCGAAATTTTTTTCGTCTACTTTTCTATCGTTAACTTTAATCAATTTATTAGAAAAAGTTCTAGCCTCAAATTGCTCTGCAAAATTCACAAGTTCTTTTTCACTGAAAACACTATTTTCTCTGACTTAGACACTTTAGCTAGTGCGTAATGCTTTGAACGAATATCTGATATTCCAAGTATTTTTCAATGACAACAATTCTGTCTATATCAGCCAACATATCGCAGCGCATAATATAAGTAATCATGTATCTCATAACCTAAGTCTGATCCGAAACCTACTGGTCTGCGCACCAAATAACAAATCAGCAATTCAACAAAGCTAAAGTTAATTCACTTTCTTGGCGATGCTATTTGACAATATAGAGTTTTGGAGTAGGCTTGTCGAAGTTTTATTCTTTAAATCAAGTTCAACAACAAATGATTTACAAACTAAGCAACAAAAAAACATCTACAAAATTTTAAAACACCACTTCAATTGAGTTTATCAAAATGAACAGTTTGTCAGTGTCGATCTATCTCTTTCTCCCTCTCTCTCTCTCTCTTTCTCTGTCTTTCTTTCTTTCTAACGTCGTGTCTACCTCTTTCTGACAGCTTCTTTTTTATTGTGCTTCCTCCAGCTTTCCTCCAGTACCCCCAACCTGACACCTTCTGTTAAAGTATATACTGCAATAGAACAAATTTCGAGCAATGACAGACGATAGTTTCACAACAGTGGAAAACTTGAGCGTAATGCTGGATGTTTGCTTTTGACTGCTTTTTTTTCCTGGCTATAAGGGTTGATCATCCTGTACTGATCATCCTGAGTTTGTGACTGGCTGACTTTTGCGTTCACGAATCGAAAATTGGTGGGAACTTTTACAAGGTCGGTGCAACACCTGGAACAGATATCTGTGATTGTTGGATCAAAACTCAACTGATGCGTCCAAAATTTCCTAATTGAATCTATGAAAGAAGATCCGGCTTGAAAAAAGTGTGGAGCCCAAACTATTCAATAATAATTTCAATGATCGCTTCTGCAAATGAATAGCTGACGTTGAGAATGGGCACCTCGAGGCGCGCCCAAAGCTTTAGAACCTCAGATTTACTACAATGAACGAAGAAATAAGGAAAAACCATAGACTTTTAACGTCGTAAAAAAATTAAGAAGAAAATCAGGTCAACATCAGTTTGAAAGAACTACCTGAACAGTGCCGGAGTTTCCCTCGACAAAAAAATTGTTGCTCGGAGTTGTTTCCGTAGCATATGCAGCACGGCTGAGAATCTTTAGGACTAACGAGATACGAGTAGCAGCGTTTGCCGACACAATAAAACCGTGCTTCATGAGCAGGATTGCTACCGTTTTAGAGTGAATGCAATTCGCCTCATCTTCACATTCACAAAAAATTCATCCCACCAGAAAGGCAATTGACTAAAAGCGCTCTGAAGGCATTTGGAGGGAAAAAAATTTTATGATAAAAAATTACAAAAACCAAGCAACAGGCGTTCATTTTATACCCAGTCTATCAGAGGAAGATATAGAACGCACGCAAAAATCACCTTTTGGATCAGAACCGACTATGCCAAGGGTGCGCTGACGATGAAGATGGAAAAACAGGAAAGATTCAATAGTCTTGAGTCCAAAAAACAAAAACTTGCTTTTGAGCGAAAAATACCAGATAGAAAAAGGAAAAGACAAGAATGTTGAAGCAGGCGAAAGACAACTCCTCCACGCTGGAAGCTCCACCTTTTTTTTCAATCCCAACAAAAACCGCCCAAGAGCAGCTCTTTTTGTTATACTGTCAAAGTGAGATTTCTTCTTGAAAAAAGTGCCCGCATTATCTAGTAGACAAAAGATTAAAAGCGCAGCTAGAGTACCTTGATTAGGTTTTGTACATGCTTACAAACTCTTAATTATGAAAACAGGAACGTATGTGCAAAAAAATAGCGTTTTTTGAAGAGGTTTTGTCAGAAGTGAAGCGCCATGTGGGTTAAAATCAAAGCTGTCATTCTTTCTGATTCGATCAATGGTTAAAATTTATGGAAACTTAGACAAGTGCAAAAGATAAATGAGCAAGTTATATGTCAATTTTGGAAGCCAAACGGAATATTTTTTCAAATCAATTAATAAGAAAATCACAATAAATTGCAAAAATTGTACAAGACTGGTAAAAAGAAAAAGCAATCAAAAACTGATCAAACGAATCAACGGCATAAAAATGATGTTAGGTGGAATAGTCATGGGAAGCAAGACCGAAATTTTGGTTTTCCTATCAAAAGCAGAAAAACCAGCAAGAAGAACATTGTAAGGAAGATACTGATGGAAGATGTTCTGAAGTACTTTTAAGCCTTTGAATATGAATCATTGCAAAAGGCGTGTAGCTGGAAAGCTAACGCTCGTTAATTTTAGTCGATTAATGGCCTCGCCAACTGCCCCTTCAAATGAACACGCTGGTGGATGTCCTGAAAGGTTACAACGCAGCGACTCAGCGAGGGGACACCTGATAGCTTTCAAAACAAAAGATGCAAAAGAAGGTTACCTGGAAAATTGCATTCGGGACACGATAATGAAACAAAAGGCTTATGAAACGTTAGCTTCTTTCTAAAAATGTGCATAAACTTAGGAACAACTGGTCAGTCTGCCTTGGAGAGCTCTGCTGCTGTAGGACTTTGACAAAAAAGTTGAGAACAAGGTCAAAATTTCATGCCTGTAAAGCCGTGCCCTCTATATGAGAATTGAGTTACAACTTCGCATCGCCTTGTGCATAGCGGTTGTTTCTAGTATAAAATAAAATTTGTGCGAAGCTGATAGCGGCACGAAACGCTTTCTGTTTCTTGAGACTATTGTTAGAACAAATGTCGGCGCAAAGACAATCCCGAAATACTACAAAAAATATACACCGGTCCCAAAAACTAGTGCACTATCTAAATTAATCAAAAAATTTTTACACAAACACTTAAATGAACAAGACTGCTCGTATCAGGGCGAAGCCCTAAATGTTCCGACTGCGTTTTAAGGTTTACGGAGCAGCAGTAATAGCATAAAAAAATTAAATGAAAAAT